CTATATATATATTTTATCCCTCCCTCTTTAATTCTCCCACTTTCTCTTCTTTTCCCTCCCCTACCCATAGTCATTATGAAGAGTGTGTCCATGAAAACAGCTGGTTCAGACTCCTTGATCATATTCTGTGATGTTGTCAGTCAAATGTGATGAAAGAATTGATGGAGGAAGTGCTGGCATTGGTAGGCTTGTCAAAAGAGGGACATGACTGCACAGTGGGAAACAATCAATCTAATCTTGAATGTCCATCGCTTTTATCTTAACAGCCTAACCTGTAAGAGAGAAAAATACAGTATTACTAAAATTTACAGGTGCTAATATATCCCATTAATGACAACATTTCTTCCTTCAGCTTAAATGCCACTGCATTTCTGAAGACTCCAAGTGGCTTACAAGTAACATTGTAAAAATAAAAATCACCTATTAGGAGACAGACAGACAGACAGACAGATATTGTTACTGAAATAAGAGATGGAGATTGAACAAATAAAAACTGTATGATACATAAAAATTCAAAGAAGTAACCACAGTACAACAATGAGAAGAGTGATGGGAAAAAATCAATAACATCCACTCTAAACTATAATTTCACAGAAAATTAGTACAAAATGTTTTATCAATGATATGTAACTCCATGAGTAATTTATACGACAGACAAATCGTATAACAGTAAATGTTGGAAACACTACAATAAAGAAAGAACATTCTATCACATGGTCCAAAAAACCTCAGAAGTACTGGAAAAAAATACATCAACCTATTCAGAAAATTCTATAAATAAAATCTGAAATGAAACCACAAATATTTTTATTAAGTATAATTTCAGAAAACATAGATGAAAAATATCACAATTTGTTAAGATACATGTTGGTAGATGCAAGAATAACTTTGACAACAGAAAAAAGAAAGTTTGCCAATGATACAAGTTTGAGAGACTAAAATTGAAGAATATGCAGCAATGGCAAAATTGACAGTGTACAGTTAGTCCTTGCTTAATGACCATTTGTTTAGTGACCATTCAAAGTTATGACAACGCTGAAAAAAGCTACTTACAACCAGTCCTCACACTTACAATCGTCACAATGCCCCTGTGGTCACATGATTGCAATCTGGGTGCTTGGCAACCAGCTCACACTTACAATGACTGCAGTGTCCTGGAGTCACACGATTGCCATTTGTGACCTTCCCAGCCAGGTTCCAGCAAGCAAAATCAATGGGGAACCACATGATTCACTTAACAACTGTGTGATCCGCTTAATGACCACGATTCACTTAATGACCATGTGATTCGCTTAATGACCACAGCAAAAAGTCATAAAACCGGGCACGGTCACATGATGCCTCGCTTAACAACCACCTCACTTAATGATGAGGTCCCTATTGTGGTGGTTAAGCAAGGACTACTTGTATAATCTCAATAGAAGTTTAACTAAATTTAAGCAGGAACGGCTCTCATATACTACACATTATACAGAAAGACACATTCAGACATTTGGAATATGGTTTCTAGGAAAACAATCATGAGATTAAGTAAAAGTAATAGATGAAATGACTTAAACAGATAATAGCAATAATTTTCAATTATTCAACATTTAGTATAAAGTACAAATATTTAGACTATGGTCAGGGGTTAGGGAAATAAATGGGAGCAGAGAACAAGTCATTAAAGTTTTTCCATATTTTTTAACTCATGTTTTTTAACTCATGTTTTATTACTGGTTTTTCCTTTTCCACATCGTTTTTTGTTTCTTCCTTCTAGTGTTTCTTTAAAAATTGTTATAAAAGAGTAAAATTGAATTTAAAAAAATAGCATAACAACAATGCCCTGCTATGTCATCATTTAGGGAAAAAATCTTCAAACGTCCCCAAGTGTTTTTCTGAAGACCCATGTTTTATATGGCTCCTCAAAATGCAATAAGGAAGGGAACCATCTCCTTTCATCCTTCTACATTTCATAAGGAATTAGCAAAAAATTAAAAATCAACTGAGGTAGTATAATTAGACTTAAGATTCAATTATTGAATCCTGAGTGTGTTGGTTCATTATGCATACCTCCTAGTTGGTTGGAGGTGGGTTAATTTGAAAGGTAGTCTTTAGATTTGAGATCCCAGCTTGCATAGAGTAACATGAGCATATTTGGGGAAAACCTGGGCTTTGGCTCAGCTTACTGCATACTGTCCAAAGTATGCCAAAACTGATAGGTAACATCCTTACCATTACTGTGGAACTCTGCATGTGGCATGGCTACAACAAAGACTGGTAACCTAGTTTCCCCTGTCTTTATCTTACAAAAAAATTGTTATGTGAAAACCTTGTTGGACAGTAGAAGCCAATATTCATAGGCCCTTTTTGTGATGATTGTGAGAGTTGGATATGGCAAAGAGTATGAATTAATGAAGGAAAAACAGATAAACTGTGTTGCAAACTAAGAGAAAGGAGAAGGGTATAATAAATCTAAATGAAGGTGACTTGTTCCTATGGAATGGAATTGATTAATATAAACCTCAAGTGAAGGTAGAGGTTTCACTCAGAAAACATATGTTAGGAAGTCTGAATTAGTATCATCTAAATTACTGTGGAAGTAGGAATGCACAGGCTTCTTTAATTACAAATTATGCTCTAGTAAATGGTGATAATCAAAGAACCAGGGATGAGTTTTTGGTGAAAAAAACCTGTTCAACATTCTGAATGAAGTGATCAGGGGAAAATATTATTCTATTAGGTGACATGAATGGATGAGTGGAATCAAGAAGAGACTACAGAAAACACACGATATAAGCACAACCATATTTATGCATATGGCAAATGAATGTTTACCTGAATATGATTGATTTATGATGAAAGACTGAAAGAATTAGTGAAGGATACAAGGATGGTAAGAAGTTCTGGATATGGCACAGAGCTTTATTTCATATTGTCAGGAATGTAACTTGTGAAGTAGAACTTGGGGAAAAAAAAGTGAAAGAAACTACAATGAAAATAGAGTGTAGAAAGTACAAGACCTGCTTGAAAAATTGTTAGAATTAATCTCCCAACAGAATGAATGGAAAACAGGTACAAGGCAAGGCAGTGTGGAAACTGTTTGGAACAGAGCAAGAATGATTATTTGACTGGTATCCCATCTTTCCTCCAGGAGCATAAGGTGGCATGCGTGGAACTCCCTCCTCCAACTTTTCCTCACAACAACCCTGTGAAGTAGGTTGGGGTAAAAGAGGTGACTAACTATATGACAGAGTCACAGAAGTCTGTAAAATTACTCTAAAGGGAAACATAGAAAATATGTTGTGGAATTATGTAGATGAGAAAATGAACAGAATGACTGCAAAAATGAAGACAAAGTGATACTGTATAAAGAACAGAGAGCAAAAGACAGCTGTAAAAATGTAGTCAAAGGAAAGATTAACATTAAAAGAAGCAGTGGTTCTGATGGAAATAAAAAATTAGAGGTGGGCAAAAAGGAATAAAAGTATTCTCTGGCAGTAATATGCTCTTATTTTTCTCTTATATACAGAAAAAAGTAAGAGGACAAAAACTACACAAGAATTCATTTGCTAAATGTGGCTGGGAAGAGCTTGGCAGAGCTGTGATTGAAAGTAAGAGAAGCAACAATGAGCAAAATCCAGGAAGTTCAGTGTGACTTCAAGTTTGTGCATATCAGATTTTTGTCTTTTAGCAGGTAATTGAGAAATATACACATATGAGAAAGAACATTTACTGTAAGGATGTTAATTAAAGAGTAAGTTAGTGATTAGTTTGAATTATGAAATGTTTGTGCAAATATTGTGAAGGTTGATTACTGAATATAGTAAGAGGAACATGATGGAAGTAAAGCATGTATGAGAATAAATGGAATGTTTAGTAAATGGTTCAACGCTGAGTCAAGGATTTGTGATACCCCTTAGTGTATATAATAGTTAAATATATTTATGGATAAATATAATTAGAGAGCTGTTGCTGAGGTCAGAGGTATGTTGGCTGGGGATAGGAATGTGTGTGTACATTTGTATGTAAATAATCCAGTGCAGTTGGCTGAGAATGCAAATGTTAGATGTTATCAAAGTGCAGGAAAAAAGTGAGAAGTAGTGAGCAAAAGAAATTAAAGGTATGAGAAAAACAAAGAAAACATAGATAAAACTGATTTATATCAACTTGATTCACTATACTTCTTTATAACTCTATTCCTTCAAGTCATCCTGACTTTCACCAAATCAATATATTAATTCATATAGTGCTTTGTGTTCTTCTCACCTCTCTTCTTTTGAGGACTTCATCAAATCAATCCAATCACAATTCTCTTGGTCTTCTCCTTCCTTTCAGTCCTTTTACTCTTCCTGCATATATTTGTTTTGCAGTTCAATAATCATTCTTTCTCTCTGACCAAATCAACTCATCATACTTTTATGCTTATTCATTCAATACCCATTCTCGACTCTCTCAGTAATTTCCAGACCTTTTACCTATCAGAAACTCACTCCCAGAGCAAATATATTTCTCCAATATGAAAAGGCTGAGAGTTGAAGCCAAGCAGAGTTGTAACAATTTCAAAAAAATAATAGAAGAAAGTGACTGCATTCATAGTTAGTTATGGATTTCTCTATTTTTCTCTGGAAATAATCCAGAATATAAAAACATAAGTACAGTAACCAAGACTATTAAAGTACAAGAGAAGTGACATATACAACATTTTTTACTTTTCTCTTTCCCCATTCTTGAACTCAATTCAGAGCAGTAGCCCCATTCATACCTCATTTTCATTCCTGAAAATATTCTATTGCATCAGGACTCCATCCCTACCAGTCCTTAAGTAGTGCTTTTATATGGCACATACACAGCTAAATACATACATACTCACTCAACTAAATACAAATCAGCACAGGTAGTCCTCGCTTAATAACCATTCAATTTAGCGACTGTTTGAAGTTATGGTGGTGAACAAATGGTAGTTATGACTGGTCCTCCAAGTTCTGGCTGTCAGGTAATCAAAATTTGGGCGCTTGGCAGACCACCCACACTTACGATCGCAGGGGTGTTTCAATTCCCCCCACTTGCCTATCTCCACCTCCATCTCTCCCCTTTTGGCCTCCCTGCACTCTGCTGCATACCTTTGCTGCCCCCCCGCCGCTGCTGCCCCAGCTGACCTTTGCCGTCTTCTTCTTCCTGCTGCTGGCCTGGGATCCAGGTGCTGGGTGAGGGTGCAGCCCTGTGATGCATGCAGCAAGTGCGGCAGGGCAGCAGAGCCTCGTCTGCTGAAGGGAGCTTGCCAGGACCAGCTGGGAAGGAGGCAGGATGGTAAGGTGTGGCGCTCTGTTGCCAAGCGAGGTAGGAGAGGTGACAGTGGCTCCCAGGCATAGGTGGAGACTGTGCGGGAGGTGCTGTTCAGGATGGTGGCAGAACTGGAGGACGTGGAGGGACAAGGGCTTCCTGGAGATGCAGTGCGCGCTTTGCAGCTCGCGTTGGAAGTGCTCCTGGAGACCTGGCCTGCAGGCTTCAGCGAGGGGTAGAGGTAAGCCCAGTGCTGACAGAATCTACCCACAGGCCTTCTGCTCGTTCTTGGCCCAGCCTTCCTCCTGCAAAGTGTCATAAAGGGCCAGCAGCTTTCAACACGTTGAAGCCCACAGACTGGTTCTCCAAAGGCACTTCTGGCACACACTTTGCAGATCACGTTGGAAGTGCTCCTGGAGAATCAGTCTATGAGGCTTCAACGAATGGTGGAGGTGAGCCCAGGGCCAACAGAACCTATGCCCAGGCCCTCTGCTTGGTCTTGCCCTAGCCTTCCTCCTGCAAAGCCTTGCGAAGAGCCAGCAGCTTCCAACGTGAGGGGTGGCAGGGGTAGCTGGCAGAGTGCAGGGCAGCCAAAAGGGCAGAGATGTGGGGGTGGGGGGAGATAGGCAGGTGGAAGGAGCTGAAGTGGAGGGTGAGCGTGGCAGGGCAGGAAAAGTGTGAGGTCCTGGCTTAATGATGGCATGGTCCTGGCCTAACAACCACAACTGGGACTGTTGGAACTACTGTCACTAAGTGGTGGGGTGATGTGATGTTTTGCCTAATTACCACTTCACTTAGCAATGAAAATTCCAGTCCCAATTAGGGTCATTAAGCGAGGACTACCTGTAGTATTTCTAGCCTTCACTTTATATGTTCAAATTCCAGTCTCTCAAGTCTGTTTGCTGTTTAGGGTTTATTTCATTTTAACTTTTTGTGTTATCATTTATTATTGATTTCATATATTTTACCTGTCCAGTTCTACAGCCTTGAATTGTACTGTTCCAATTGATCTGTATAAATACTAAATGCCCTCCATCTATTGGGCCCATCAAAACTGACATGCCTTCCTCCCTAAAAAAGATCCCATGAACAAGATACAGTACCTTCTGCATATAAGACTAAGCCACAATACATGGGTTCACAATCATATGAAGTCCAGAACAAATATATCACATTACAGCTAAGTATTATGCATGTGAACTAGACTATATTATTGTCTATAATTCACCACAATAATATTATACATAAAATAAACAGTTTTCATATCAAAGCTCAGAAAAACTATATAACAACCAAAGTGCCCCCCTTTAGAGGAGCTGGACTTTAGGAATAAATCACACAATTAGTTAATGCCTGTTTAATTCGATCCTGTGTAAACTGGTATCTTCCAGATATTTTGATTGCAATGTCTATAGTTCCCTAATCAGCCACACTGCACATCTTAAAGACACCAGGCTTAGGGAAGTTGTTCCAAGTTTTCTTGCAAACTAACCTAGAAGTATGATGTTCTCCAATTTAACCTTAAACATCAGCTAAAGCAATCTTCCCCACATAGCATCCTCACAAAGTATTGGCTCTCAATATTCTGCTGAGAGAGCTGAATGGGAGTTGAAAATCAGAAACTTATCTGGATAACCTGGAGGGTATCAGGTTAGAATAAAATGTTCACTACTTTTTTAATACATTTATTAGCTAATAGTATTGCATGTCTAGGAAACTGCTGTATTTTAGAATTAATTCTTCTGCGTGCTAAACTGGAATCAATTTACTTTGGGGATGCTTTAAGACACAAGATATGAACATAGAATCACAACCAGAAAATATTCAAACACAAAGAACTGGAAACATAATATCCCCACCTATTAATTTTTTTTCAGTTGTGCACACAGCATTTTTTTAGCAGTTTAGCAGTTTCCTGTATTGTTTGAACTGAAGAAGAAAAAAAAAACCCGTAAGAGCTTTTTGGAAACCAGGAATTTAATCCAGGATTGGAGGAGGGGAGAAACAATAAATATGTGTACAAATATCATTATTGGACTTGGACCATTATATCTAAACAAGTTGCAAAAATTACCTCTCTGCTGCTGCCAAAAAGCAATAAATGTCTACAATGTAAGGTTTTAACAACATTTCAGAGATTTCAATTACCACAAATTCAAAAGAATGAAAAATACCAATTTGCACTAGGAAGCACTCCAAAATAAAGATAACCACCTAAAGTATGCATCATGAATCAAAACCCATTTCTTGTACTAGCTTTCCAATTTAGCTGTACGTGGAAAAAACCCTAATTCTGGTATAAAACAACAGTTCCCCCCAAAGCATCTGATTAATTATTCCCATGCTGAGAGGCTTGAACAGATGGAATTCAGTTTTCGTTTCCCAAAACTGTCTCTCCCATATAGTCTCATTCATACAAAGGCAGAACTGGTGAAAATTAGGCTGCACCTTTGTAATTCCAAGATTCTCAGGAGGGTAAATTTAGTTTTTAGATAATTCTAATTTGATAATCAGACTAATACATCTAAGAGTGCTATCGTTAACTGGACAAAGCAACAGTCTCTTCAAATCCCCACATTTTGTAAAGTGCTCAGAAAGAGGAGTAGGCGAGCTTGCCTACAAACATGTAAGTAGAAGATTCAGATGATCTCTTCCCAACAATCCTTTTTGCAATGCAATGAACATGTGCTGAGTACAAGGAGTAATAAATAAATACAGGTAGACCCCAGTTTAAGAACGAGTTCCATTCCCAAGGTCTGTCCTTAAGTTGAATTTGTATGTAAGCCAGAACAGTATTCTTATATAATACTATATAAGTAGTATTGTGTAATTAACATGAACCATTGTGTATTTAACTCAAATCAGTGGATATTTAACTCGGATTTTGCTACAATAGGCTCTGTTCTAAACTATGGGTTGTCCGTAAACTGGGCATTCTTAACCTGGGGACTACCTGTACTTAACCTAAGCTGATTATTTTGATTTTATTTGGAAGTGTGTGTTAGTGTGTGTGTGAGAGACTACTGCCTTCCCTTGTTTTCCTTATTTTCATAATTAACTCCTTTTTATAATTAGAGATTTGGCTTTATCCATTTTAGAAGGAAATATTTAATTAAAACCTTCACATGCAACACGGCAAGGTCACATAGTTACCCTTGTGTTTCAGGACTGATGCATACTTTGTTAAGTTTTGTATTTCTGGACTTTGGGCAGGAAGAGACAAAACACCTTCCTTTTTAGTTTTCCTACAGTTGGCTAAGGGAAGAAGTCATGGGTAAAAGGTCGAAGAACTTCCCAGCTGGATAGACTATGATGTGTCAGTAGGCTTAGCCTGGCAGGTGGCAGTCTACTATAATGATTGGTTACTGAAGAACTCCTGAAAGAAGGGGCCTGCCAAGAAGATTTTAAATTATCTCCTGTGATGGTATGGTACCAACTGGGAAACAGCTACATTTTTACTATTGTATGGACACAAAAGAGTAAGAAGTCAGTACTAAACTATGTCATGAAAGCTATAAAGGTAGACTGTGAATGCATCCATACATCCTTCACTCTATCCATAAAAAACTGCGGCTTCTGGGTTTTACTAAGCTAAATCAAATATCATTGTGGAGGATGATTGCATGCCTTTTCCCCCACAGTCTTTTCAGGTTATCAACAGTTACCTGAATTACCTTTCTATAATTCAAATACTGTTGCACTGCATGAGCTACCTTGCTGATACTGCTTTGTTTTTTGTCAATTAAAAAAGGAGCTGATCTGATAAGTTTTCTCAAATCTACAGTTTATTCTTCAAACAGTTGTACGATGAACAATTGTGTTACTAGACAAAATAAACAAGGCAATAGTTCAGGATACTGCAGCAAAGTCCTTCACTTCACTTTTTTCCTTAACTAATAAGCATGACTATTAGTACTGAAATAATTGGAAAAGACCAGCAGGCTAAAGAAAGAAACTCTGTGTACAGTTAAAATAAGTGTCTATTTCTCCCTTAAACTGGAGAGAAAGTAGGAGGGGAAACTCAGTGTCTTTCCCTCCACTCACCTGTGCTTGCCTTTATTTTCATTCCCACGAACACACTTCCCCCCTCACCCCCGCTCCGACTGCTCTGTGCTGAAGCTGCCTTTCACCATCTTGTTCTGCAAGGGGGGAAGAGAGCAAGGGAGGAGGGGCTGTTGTCCAATATACCAAGGATAAGATGAAAGAGAAAAAGAAAAAGAATATACAGAGAGTGAAAGAGATGAAGCAGCATCAGTACCACTATCAGTTTTAGAAACAAATACAGATTTTTCAGGCAAGATTTCTACGTGACAGCAGGTATTTTTGCGAATCAAGAAATATTTATTTTTATTTAGCTAGTATTTTTACTTTGCTGAATGCTGGATTTTCATACTATAAAACCATGAAATTAGAATAAATTATTACATTAAGGATTAAAATTAAGAATAAAATTGAAATAAAAATACACATTTTAGCAATTATGTTGAATTGACTGCATAGTCACAAATCTTCAACACTGAAGTTTAATGCACTGTCACAAACCAAACACTGAAGCTCCATTTTTCATGATTTCCTCCTGAATATTCTGAAAGGACTTTTTGCTTGCCTCAAAAACAAAATATTTAATTTTGCTATTTAATTCAGGCATATAAAATCTGAACTAGTTTCATTTTGTGGACAAATTCATTTATGACATAAATGTTAACAACACACCTTTAAACAATAATCTTCTCCCTCTCAGTTAGTTTTTAATTGTATCTCATTTAATTCTAAAACAGCAAGCCTTTTCTGCATTAGGACACTCTTGTAAAGAGCACAAACACCTTAGCGCTCTACCGGAACAAAATGGGCTCCATGAGCAAAACCAGAAAAAGCAAATACAGTGGTACCTCGGGTCACAAACGCTTCTGTTCACGACCAATTCGGGTCATGAACAGCACCGTTCGCAAAATTTTGCTTCCGTTCACGAACTCCGCATTGGGTGATGAACAGGATCCGCGGCCATTTTCCCTGCTGTGACACGTGGTCATGGCTTCCTGTA